TTTAATTAAAATACAAATCGTACCTATAGTTTCAAAAATTACATACCACCTTTAAAGTTTCTAATTTCATAACATATTGCCTATTTTATTAATAAATCATCAAGTCAATTAACAGTTTTTAATGATGTTAAAAATATGTTTCAATTAAAATTTTAGATAATTTTATTATTATATAAGAGAGTAATTATGAATTTTAATTTTTAGTTAATTCCGTTAAATAAAAAATTCTAATAAGAGAGTATTTGTAATTTTTTAAACCACATGAAGTAATCTGTATTTTAAGCAAATCTCAGTGGATGTATTTGTAATTTACCCTTAATAAAAATATTATTCAAATTCATCTCATTCGAAATTACAAAGAATAGGTTTTTGGGTTGTTTTGGGATGTTAGTTAAAAACTAATTTTTTGGCTTTTTAAAAAAAATATTAAAAAAAATAAAAAAATAATACTGTGTTTGGTTTGAGTTTTCTGGATTAAGTTTTTTGAAAATTGAGTTTTTTGATTTTCGTGTTTTTTTGTTTTTAGTAAATATTTTTAAAATTTTAAACATTTTTTTTACTTTTTTAGATGCACCTTACTTAGTTGTGTCTAAAAAGTAAAAAAATTGTGAAAAAATATTTTAAAAAATTAAGAAATACATAAAAATACAAAAAATGTATTAAATTCTTATATTTTTTTTGTATTTTTGGTATTTAGTGAATTTTTAAAAGATTTTTTTACAATTTTTTTACTTTTTAGGTGTATTTATGTTAGGTGTGTCTAAAAAGTAAAAAATTTGCATAAAATATTAAAAAAATTCAGTAAAAACAAAAAACACAAAAAATAAAAGTTTAGAATTTTTTGAAAACTGTTTTTAAAAAATAGAAACCAAGCAATATGATTCAAAAGTTTAGAATTGACTTTTGACTTTTAGTCATCTTTTCAAAAGAGGCCTTTGAAAATTGCTAAATTGTTCATCTGGCTTTTATTATTATTATTTATATTTACCTTTTCATAATATGTGGATACAAGAAAACATTATTTGCCTTCATAATTTTTAAGATTATTTTTAAACAAAACACCAATTATAACACGTGAGAAGTTAGTTGGTGGTCTTAGGACATGACCTGATGATATTTAGGCCTCGTTTGAAAAGTGGCTATTTTAATAAATTTTTTAGTTATTTTAATAGGCTATTTTAGTTTGTGTATTTGGGAAATTGGGTTAAATTTTTGGGTTGATTGTTGTATTAAAAAATGTGTTTGATATAATGTTTAAATTGAAATGACGTTTAAATTGAAATGGCAAATTTACCCGACTTTATTTTTTCCAAAATTGTTGTGTAGGGGTAATATCATAATTTAACCTGTCTGAAGCCTACAATGTTAGTGGCAGTGTAGGCTACGTTGCTGCAGCAGCCGTTGCTTTTTGACTTTATTTTTTCTTTTTCTTTTTTTTTTGAAAATCAATGGTTGGTGAGATTTTTTTGGCTATTTTCCCATTTGAGGCTAAAATAGCCTCTTTCAAGGCTGCCCAAACACCCCCTTAGGTAGTATTATAATTGGTAGAGAGAGTAAGACACACTACTATTCTATATTGGGTGATAAGAGAATAATAACAGATATATCATTTTATGATTGGTGAAAATACTATCACACGGTGTTCCAAAACCATCTAATAATTTTTTTTTGTAACATGGTGACAAAAATTTGGCGAGATGTAACATTTTTTTTTTGAGGGGGAGGGGGGGGTACATGAACAATAAGATTTAACTCTTGAATAAAATTCCAACTAAAACGAAAATTGTTTGTCATTTGTTTATCATTTTTGGAAAACACAAAAAGATTTTTTTTTTTTGATTGGCTAATTTTTTTGAAAATTATTTTCAAATTTTGCTTGAAAACAATTTAATTTTTAAAAAACACCAAAATTTATTATTAAAAACTAATTTCACAAAAAAGAAAAATAATGATTTGAAAACAATAGCTGTTTTTGGACAATTTAATATTTTGCTTATGAAAGTTACCTCTGCGAACAATAAAATAAAAACACTATCAAACTAACTCAATTTTAACTTAGGGCTAGTTTGGCATATCTTAAAAAAGTTAAAAAGTCAAAAAGTTATTAAAAAAGTTAAAAAGTTATCACTATTTATAAAAATAAAAAAATAAATTTTACAAAAAAAAAAAGTACAACTCACATGTCACATGAATTGTATTTTAGCTGCCTACCGTTTGTACCAAGGGAACAAACGGATAAGCAAACAAGACGGTGTTGTTTGGCCCGTAGGGGCCCACCACGGGTCCCGTTTTGCTAATTGAAATCGTTCAATGTGTAGAACTCGTTGAGTACTATATATTTGTAAAAACTCACATTGATCGGATATAGTTAATTACATGATCAAATCAGTTTTGTATAAAAAATAAATTGTGATATAATTAACGGTTGACAAAAAAACTAATCCGATCAGATAGCTATTGATATCCAATCAATATGATTTTTTATCAACGTATAGTACTCGACAAGTTCTACACATTCAACGGTTTCGATTAACAAAACGGGACCTGTGGTGGGCCTCCACGGGCTGAACAATACCGTTCAATTCGACTCCTGAAAAGGAGGTAACCATCTCCTATACACTACCTTGCACACACCAGTTAGGACATCCACCGTACTGTCTATTCTATCATAATCTTCTCCTATACACTAATTTATACAATTTTTTAATATATATTTTTTTGTAAAAAATTAAAAAATTATTCCAAATAACCACCTTTTTGTCCTCAATTTTTTAGTCCAAAAGGTCAAAAAATACACTTATTTAGGATATTCTAAACAATCCTTTATTTTAGAATGTAGGTTAAAAGTTAATTTTTTTGACATTTTTTAAAAAAAATTTACAAAAAAAGAAGAAAAAATAATCAGTGTGTTTGGTTTGAGTTTTTTGGATTAAATTTTTTGAAAATTGAGTTTTTTGGTTTTCGTATTTTTTTGTTTTTAGTGAATATTTTTAAAATTTTAAACATTTTTTAAACATTTTGAGATGCACCTTACTTAGATGTATCTAAAAAATAAAAAATTTGTGAAAAAATATTTTAAAAAATTAATAAATACATAAAAATAAAAAAAATGTACTGAATTCTTGTATTTGTTTTGTATTTTTGGTATTTAGTGAATTTGTAAAAGATTTTTTTTATAATTTTTTTACCTTTTAGGTATATTTATGCTAGGTGTATCTAAAAAGTAAAAAAATTATTTAAAATATTAAAAAAATTCAGTAAAATAAAAAAAACATGAAAAATAAGAAAGTAAAATTTTTTGAAAAGTATTTTTTGAAAAATAAAAACAAACAAGCTGAATATAATTTAAAAAAATTAAAAAATTAACTTTTATCCGCATTACCAAAATAAGCTCGAGGTTTGTGAAACCTAATGGACAGATGTGATTGACTTTTTTAACTTCTTTTTATTTTATTTTATTTATTTATTTTTGTTCCTTAGTTAAATTTTTATTCTAAATTTTTTAAAAATGGTAATTCCGCATTGCACTTCACTTTTATCCCTAACATATAATATTTAAAAGTTTAAAGCGAATTACACTAATAGTATCTATAATTTATAATTTATATTATTTTGGTTCATAATTTTTTAATTGTTATATATTTGATCGCAAATTTTAAATTTTGTTACAAATAAGAACAATTGAAGATAATATTACCCAATTTCGAGAGTAAAATCATCAATTTGATAAAATATAAACTAATTGAACAAAAATCAATGTCAAAAAATATTTTTGAATTTTTAAAAATAATTCTTACCTACCAAAGATAAAATTATGTAAAATTAATAAATCTTTTAGACATTTATTTATTTATTTTACCAAATTAATTTTATTATGTTTTTGGATATGATCATGTAATGGGTGGTTGATATGTTTTTAATGTGCTATTGATATATTTAATATATGAAATATTTTTAGTTTTGAATTTTTTGATTTAATGGATTAGTTTAATAATGATATCAAAGTTGTCGTCATATTTGATTTTTGAAAAAGTAGAAACTAATTTAATAAAAATAAAAATAACCACTCATTGCATGATTATCATCCAAACACATAATAAAAAATAATTTGGTAAAAAAAAAAAAAATTTCTAAACAATTTATTATCTTTACATAATTTTATCTTTAGTGGGTAAAATAATTTTGAAAAATTTAATAATATTTTTTTGATATTTATTTTTATCAAATTAGTTTGTATTTTATCAAATTGATGACCTTACCCTTGAAATTGAGTAATGATATCTTCAATTGTTCTTATTCGAAACAAGATTTAAAATTCATGGTCAAATGTGTCATAATTAAATAGTCAAGCAGTAAAGTGATACAAGGCTCAAACTATAGAAACCAGTAGTCTAATTCACCAAAAGTTTATTAACATATATAACAAAGTCCTTTTAAGAATTATCAAATATATTAATTTTTTTAAATTTTAAAAAAATAACTAAAATATTAATGGTCAAACTATGTTAAAAATGTGAGCATCACTTAGAAGTACAATATATGCCATATATGTACATTTTTCCTTATAGAAAAATATTTAATATTATAAAAGATGTTTTACAATTTGATTCATAATAATATATCATATATGTTAATTTTAAATTTATTACATATTTAATTATATAAGACATACCTCTCTTATCATATATAAATTTAAAAATTCAAATTATAGATTTCTAAGTTTTAAACCCGCAAGGGTGGCTCAGTGGGTGAGGGAAGAAAACCTGGGGTCTGGGAGAAATTTATTACATATTTAATTATATAAGACATATTTCTCTTATCACATATAAATTTAAAAATTCAAATTATAGATTTCTAAGTTTTACATATATATATATATATGACGGGAGCAATGTTAGGACCACTGTCTATAGCATTTTTCACATGACGCGCCATTGTTGAGCTTGGGACTAGCATTTGATATACAGATGTTCTGGGCTTTCTTTCTCCTTCATTTTCCTCTCTCTCTCTCTCTCTCGCTCTCGCTCTCTCTCTCTTTCTCTCTCTTATCTTCTCTCTTTTCCTTCCCTCCCCTCAACCGCCTCCTCTCCTCACTTCACCCTGCAAAAACCCATTTCCGTACACCTCCAATAACCTCTCTACATCCAAGTTTTTCATAAATTTCTCTATCTTTTTCTCTCACTTTCTCACCATCCAAACATGGATAAACTACTGAGTGTCCATGAAAAGAAGCCAACCAAACAGACCAACAGAACCAAGAAAAAAACAATCAAAGTTGTGTACATCTCTAACCCCATGAAGGTCAATACAACAGCTTCAGAGTTCAGAGCTCTGGTTCAAGAACTCACTGGCCAAGATGCCAAGTATTCTGAGATTGACTGTGTTGGAGGCAATCAAGTGGTCTCTGATGAGATCAAGATCAGTGGTGGTGATCTTCATGATCATGATCATGCACTGGAAGAAGTCCCAAGATTGATGGAACCAACTACTAGTGATGTGGCTAAAAGCTCCGATCTTGCTTTTGAGCAGTACGATGATGTTTTTATGCGTCAGATGATTGATAATTTTTCTGGGTTTTTGCCATCAAGCTTGTTGTTTTGAATTTGATGATGATGTTGATGGTGATGTGTTCACAAGCTTTGATGCAGTGTATATTTTGTGGTAAGCTTTGATCTGTTTACTTAATTAGAAAAATGCAATAAATAAATGAATTTTTCATCTAATTTTTTTTATTACTTAAACATAAAGATATGGGTCCTATATATATATATATATTAAATTGGATCTCACTAAATTTGTGTTTCTCGAAAATCTGGTAAATAATTCTGATTATGTATAATATTGCTTAATTCATTAATTCTGTGTTGGTATCTTCATTTTAAATAAATCTACTAGTCTATGGTTGTAAATAACATTCACTTGTGTCCTGCCATTCAATTTGTAGTTAGTATTCCATAAAATTTAAAAAAAAAAAAAAGAAGAGAGAAGTTATAGGTTGGATCTATTTGGTGAGATTTGACTTTGGAGTATATTAATGGGCGAAATTTTTTTTAGAGCTCACCGTAAATATTAAAATTGAGAGATCTTACTAGTCGTTTAGATAATTAGAGTCCTTTAAAATAAGTGTTTTTTTTTTTTTGATATGCCATAAAAAAGGCCAAGTGATTTATGGAGTTAGAAAGAAATTAGACAGAATTCCCGGTCTCAGAAAATCAATTCTCCTGTTCTTAACATATTTTAGGTACACATTTGTATATCGAAATTTAGGAGTAATTAATGACAAGTGAATAGAAGTGGTTTCAAAATTGTCATTCTCTTATTTTTAATATATTCCAGCTACACACTAATGTATCAAGATTTAAAAGTAATTGAGGACAAGTGAATAGTAATGTTACGAAATCGGTATTCTCTCGTTCTTAATGTTCCAATTACACACTCCTATATTGAGATTTAAAAGTAATCGAGAATAAGTGAATACAAATGTTACGAAATTAGTATTCTCTTGTTCTTAGTGTATACACTAGTATATCGAAATTTAGAAACAACTAAGCACAAGTGCATAGAAATTTTAGGGATTGAAGATTTTGGGGCAAAGAGATAAGTTAAAAATTCTATGGGATGGAAATTGAACCAAAAGAAGGGGCTAAAAAGTGCAAAATAGTGTTGGGGACCCAAGATATTCTTCCTTACAAAGACAAGTGCTAATTAGAATGTCCTAGTGAGGAAGTGCTTTTAGGCTTTGGTTTAAAACAAACCCTGAAACCAAACACTTCTATGGGGGCAATCACATTTGAAGTGAAAGATTCATGAAGATGGATATACTATTCGGGATGTGTTACTCTAAGTTAGGGATGGGCAACGGTTTATCCGAACCGCTCAAATCGCTCAACCCATATATAAATGGGTGATTTCGCAGATATAATGCGGACGGATGCGGTTTGAAATATGAAAAATTTGCTGGTTGCGGGCGGGTCGCGGTTTAAATCCGCAACCCACAAAAACCGCCCGCCCATTGATTATTATTATTATTATTTTTTTTTATATACAAACTTTGTAACTTTTACAAGAACACCATTATATTCTCTATGAAACTAGGATTCTTATTTTTAAGTATTTCTCAACTTTCTTAATGCCGTAAAATTATCAAGTCCTAAGTTTGGTTTCTTATATGATTTTTATTGGTGATTCATTCACTTTTTCCTAATAAAATTTTCTTTCTGGTGGTCGATGGAACTTTTAATTTGATTATTGATTACTGAACTGGCAATTCTAATCGAGTACAACCTTTAATGCATTGATATACATTTTTTTCATAGCAAAAATGCTAGTATAAGGTTTCTTTATTTTGGGTACTTTCATTTAATGCATTGATATTCAATTTTTATTTGTAAACTCATTAGAAAATTGTTATCACAAATATACAAAATGAATCTGATGCCTAAATTCGATGGAAAAAAAAAAAACTCAAAAATTAATTTTTAAAGAAAAAAGTGTAAACCGCAAACCGCCCCCAACTGCCTGCATATTTCCAAATGATATCCGCACAAACCGCAAACCGCACTGTGGGCGGTTGCGGGTTGACTTTTTTCCAAACTGCATAGATGCGGATAAGTCAAAACTGAACCGCAAACCACACAAAATCGATCCGCGAACACCCTTACTCTAAGTTGTAGTTTAGGCAGCCTCTCTCTCTTTTAAATATAAAATTTTTATTATTATTTTCAATGCACTCCCTCTCCTACAGAAGTAAAGATTCTTGTATTAGGATGAGAAAAAACAAAGCAGACTGATTTGATTACACAGAATGCTTTCATTTCATTGGATTTGATATACTAGTTTTTTTTTTTTAGTTATAGTTAGCTAATATATGTGCCAACTTTTGCATTATACCAAAAAATATATATATATCGGAAATAAATAATTTTACTTTTTGACAATATCATTTTTGTCTCTTTTTATGCTGCCCAGGGTTTTCTTAACTATTCATAAGATGGTTTTTAGGCTTTGGTTTAAAACAAACCCTGAAACCAAACACTTCTATGGGGGCAATCACATTTGAAGTGAAAGATTCATGAAGATGGATATACTATTCGGGATGTGTTACTCTAAGTTAGGGGTGGGCAACGGTTTATCCGAACCGCTCAAACCGCTCAACCTGTATATAAATGGGCGATTTCGCAAATATAATGCGGGCGGATGCGGTTTGAAATATGAAAAATTTGTTGGTTGCAGGCGGGTCGCGGTTTAAATCCGCAACCCACAAAAACCGCCCGCACGTTGATTATTATTATTATTATTATTTTTTTATATACAAACTTTGTAACTTTTACAAGAACACCATTATATTCTCTATGAAACTGGGATCCTTATTTTTAAGTATTTCTCAACTTTCTTAATGCCGTAGAATTATCAAGTCCTAAGTTTGGTTTCTTATATGATTTTTATTGGTGATTCATTCACTTTTTCCTAATAAAATTTTCTTTCTGGTGGTCGATGGAACTTCTAATTTGATTATTGATTACTGAATTGGCAATTCTAATCGAGTACAACCTTTAATGCATTTATATACATTTTTTTCATAGCAAAAATGCTAGTATAAGGTTTCTTTATTTTGGGTACTTTCATTTAATGCATTGATATTCAATTTTTATTTGTAAACTCATTAGAAAATTGTTATCACAAATATACAAAATGAATCTGATGCCTAAATTCGATGGAAAAAAAAAAACTCAAAAATTAATTTTTAAAGAAAAAAGTGTAAACCGCAAACCGCCCCCAACTGCCTGCATATTTCCAAATGATATCCGCACAAACCGCAAACCGCACTGTGGGCGGTTGCGGGTTGACTTTTTTCCAAACTGCATAGATGCGGATAAGTCAAAACTGAACCGCAAACCACACAAAATCGATCCGCGAACACCCTTACTCTAAGTTGTAGTTTAGGCAGCCTCTCTCTCTCTTTTAAATATAAAATTTTTATTATTATTTTCAATGCACTCCCTCTCCTACAGAAGTAAAGATTCTTGTATTAGGATGAGAAAAAACAAAGCAGACTGATTTGATTACACAGAATGCTTTCATTTCATTGGATTTGATATACTAGTTTTTTTTTTTTAGTTATAGTTAGCTAATATATGTGCCAACTTTTGCATTATACCAAAAAATATATATATATCGGAAATAAATAATTTTACTTTTTGACAATATCATTTTTGTCTCTTTTTATGCTGCCCAGGGTTTTCTTAACTATTCATAAGATGGTTGTATATTCAGAAGACAATGATTGTGAAGTATGATTTTAAAATATTGGTGTTTTTCTAAAGATAAATATAATAAAATTATATAATTAAAATTTTCAAAATAATTAGAATTTTTTATTTGATTTGTAAATGAGACATTAAAAAAATAAACAATTTGAATAAAAGTGAGACATGTAGTGAAATTTACGGACTAAACTATTTGGTCTGGTAAGCCCATCTACTCTTCCAAAAAGAGTAACGACTGCATACAAACGAGATCTCTATCATGCACGATTGATTTCAACGAAGAAGACGAAGAAGAAAAGAAGAAAAGAAAGAAAGAAAAGGAAGAAAAAGAAAGGGAAAAAAAAAAAATGTAAAACGACGTCGTTTTACAGATTCGAGCCAAAATTCGAGCTAATTATTCGAGCTACTAGGAATTATCTAAAAAAAAATTTCTATACACAATTTAGATAAGGAATGAAGTGACCTTTCAAGACTATTTCATTTCAAATTAAACATCAAAGTATTTCAAGAAATGTCACTTTTGCTGTCACATCTTTCTTGTTTTATTTTAGGGACAATTACTTGACAGTTGAGTAGGAAACAGAAATTACAAACTAATAAAAAAATTTATAATATTAATAATTAATTTTTTGATATTTTTCACTTGTTATTGAATAAGTTTCACGGACACAATGTCAATGTAATTCTGTCTTTATTTTATGCATAAAAGTTCTATTTGTAAATCAATTAATTTTAAAAATACAACTACTGTATTATTCTTATTAAAATTCTATAAAAATATCATTTATGGTTGATGGGAACCAGCCAGAGTAGCATGAAAAAGCAAGAGCTTTATTTTTATTACAATTTTTTTTTTGTTATTGTTTTATATCACTTTTTATATAGATGCTTATAATTAATTTTTTTATTTAAAAATAATTAATAAAAATAAATAATATATAATTATAAATATAAAAATAAGTAAATAAATGAATAAGGGATATACAGTGCTCTAAATTTTATGATCAGGTTCATTGTTCATATTTGTGTACGTAGTAACATGCATGCATCCTTGCATGGTATTGGCTCCCACACCCTTCCGTTCATTATTTCAACTTTCTAAGTTTGGTAAATGCTTCTTTTTAGGAAAATTTACCCATAAGTCCTAGTTTCTGAAAAGTTGAACCATTTAGTCCTAAAAGTTTTCTTATGTTCTATTTAGTCCCATTTGCACATCAATCTAATGTTCGAAACATTAATCTGATGTTCGAAATCTAATGTTCGAAACATTAATCTGATATTCGAAATCTAATGTTCGAAACATTAATCTGATGTTTAAAACATTGTAATAGGACCTTTCAGTCTATAAGAAAACTTTTAGGACTAAACAGTGTATAAGTTATTAATTTGGGATTTATTGGTGCATCCCCTTTTTTTTTTATTGAACTTTTTCAACTTTTTGTAAAATTTTATTTTGT